TCAGACAGAGGATCTTACCTCGGCTCCAGGAGCAACCCACACAGAGAAGGCAGCAGGCCTCCACCATCTGCCATGGATGCTGAAGGAACTTGAAACACTGGTCAGCTGGAAACTAGGCCACATTGACTTCATAATCTAAAACCTGTCAATTGCTCACTTGCAACAGCCAACAATGGACAGTCACTTCTGGAAAAACACTTCTGAAAACCACACAATTCCTCTGAAATTATATAAACAGACTTTATTTAAAATTAGCTGTTCTCTGGACCTCCACAACTTTGCTGTCTTGAAAAGGGCAAAAAATTTGTACATATCCCAGTGACAGCAGCCATACTGAAGAGCTGACATTGGTGCCTACCCTGAAGAAAATTTTCCAGTCTAGACTGATTCTAGACATGCCACCGGCTCCAGACACATAATAATCCAATTTTAGTTCACACTGGGTAGTATTTCCAATCCCTTAGGTTTACCTCATCATGATCCCCAGTGATCAGCAAAGAGGATGGGTACCATTTCAGGAAGAACAGAAATCTGTCCATAGGCTAGCATTCTAACGTGGCTTCTCACACTTGGGCTCTTTTGTAAATAAAATATTGATGTCCAAGCCTGTGAAGCTTTATGCCATCAAGGCAGTGGACAGTGCTTTTACCTGCTAATAAAAGTACATTAAGAAATTCAGTGGAGATGATTTGCCTTCAGCTGGAAACAGAGAAGCTGGTGTTAAATGGAATTAAGTTGTCAATGACTCATCGTGAAGTTTTCTGTGTGTTAACACAATACAAATTGCAGGCAGCATAGACCCATTTTTAATTCAGTAAGTGAAAGGAAAATTATGATAGCAGAGTAGGAGGAAGAGATGAGAGTTAAGGAACCTACGCAAGTCTTTTCTCACCTTGTATGTAGTGTGATACATATTCTCAAAGCCATGTGACAGGGCTGGGTCTACTGAGTCCTTACTGCTTTCAGAACATGCTCAGACTTCGAGGGGATGTCCATAAACCTGGCAGTGAATAAGCATCACTTCTGCTTGCAGTTTGGTACAGATGATTCATACTCTTGCTACAGCAAGACAGCAGGATCAAAGACATCATATCTCAGTCAGTCCTTGAGTGACCCTGCCAGTTCCTGGCCTTCAATGTTTTTCATTATCTCATCACCCACTGAGGATTGCAGTGTCTTACAGAGCAAAGTAGGTTTAATTTAAGTAGAAGCTTGAGTAGGGCTGTTCGTATATTACACATTTTTTAAAAATTATTTTTACACCAAAGATGGTTTTGCAAATAGTCTGTTGTGGTGTAAAATGAAAGACAAATATGCCATGTACCTACCAGCTGAGACTGCTGAATTACACTACAGAGTAAGACTTTCAAAGGCTGTTACTAAGTTGCTGAGTCACCAACCAAGCTCACTACGCAGTATGTTATAAGCTTTTGGTCCAGTACAATAGAAAAAGATTTGACATAGTTTCAAACAATGCTATCAGCACCAGTGAGTAGACAGAAAACAGGAGGATGGGTCATGGAGAAATTCAGATAGAAAATCAGAAAGTATACACTGAAGCCAGACCTCCTATACTTTAGGGTTTCAGTGAAAGGCTTGTGTCTTCAGCACTATTATGCTGAAGTATTCTTACAGAATGGATTCAGAAAAGGGTGACAATGATTTACACTCCTTTTTGCTGTACAAAATGGTCACCCTTCAGATACAGTCATGAGCTCTCAATTCAATTTTGCTTAGCTTGAAAGATTTAACAATAATATTCCAGTTCCAAAGTACTTTACATGAACAGATTCCTGTGACAAGCTTGAAGTGATATGGCTGTCTGCTCTGGATTTTGCTGGAAGTTTGCATTTTTACAGGAGTTTGCTTGTACAGGACTATTGGTTTGGAGGGATTTTGGATTTTTTTACCTGTACACAATAAATACCAGCGTGATAGGCAATATTTTTTTTCATGTGCAGAGAATGTCATGTCTCTCTAGTTAATAAATATTATTGTAATTCATACCAAATGCCTGTTCACCCTGGAATATGTGATAATCTTGAAGAATTAATACTTGTATTCTATTGGGAGTGTAGGGTTACTTTGCTTTAGCTGGTGTGCACTTCTTTGACTAGATAGGCAAGAGGAAAGAGCAATCTGTTTGGCACCATAAATCAACTCTCCTAATATTTATTTTGATTTCCTGACTCACAAGTCTGCATTTATGTGTTTTAAATATGTGAATTCTTAATAGAAAAATCAGACCTGAAAATTAAACATTCCATGATGTTCCATGTTCTCTGCACAAGTTTAAGCAAATTAACTGGAACTTAATTTATAGAGATGCTAACCTCCTGCAAACATCAGTGTCTGGAATTAAGTATTCAGCATTTATGCAAGTTAAACTCTTAATCTTGATCCTAATGAAACTTATCTATTAATGTTAAGTGCATGTGCATGAAACACAAGGTCTTTGTATTTATCCATAGAATTCACAGAAAAAACACAAAACTACTACTGTAGAATTGAAACTCAAAAACCTTTTACAGTTTTTATAGAATCTTGTAAAAGAAAGAAGAACAAGTGCATGTGTATGTTAGTCAATCTAAGATAATTGCCTCCACACCTCTTGAACATTTGTCACAGACCTGTTAAAGTATTTTCTGGATTTTACTCAGATGTAAATATTCTCTTGCAGGACTGCAAATTCCAGGTATCCATTAAAAGTCTGTTTGTCACAGTAATATGCCAAAAGGAAACATCAAAGAGCTGCTGTCACATTTTCAGGTCTTTTTTATAAGAGTAATCATCCCGGTCCAAGGACACAAACAAGGCAAAGTTTACCAACAGGCATAATTTATTTAGACAGAGCTTTCAGACACCTGAGCTCTTTTCCAGATGTAATTAAACAAAACAAAAACTTACAAGCTTCATCTTGCAACAGATCTTAATTGCTCTGGTGAAGGGTCAAGTATACAACATGCTGTCACCTCTGAAGGAAGCCTTGATGGTATCACATCTTCATTGTCAGAGAGAGTTCTCATTAGTCTTACAAATACGGCCTCATTTGCAGAATTTTAAACAAAATCCTCAAATTTACAGGTATTTTTGTAACTCAGTCCTGAGGGAAATCACTGAAACTGTATAACTAACTTTGTTCATCTATGAAGCCTAAATCATAATATGAATTTTGTTGAAAAGAGTTAGAAGCTATGAGTTGCTCAGGTGATCCGTCTGATAAAAAGTATCTGTATTGTCTTCCCCTTTTTGTTTTCACAGATGAAGTACTAAGTTAGGAGAATTCTGAGACGGCAAAAGTAAGTGGCAAAAAAAAAAAAAAAAAAAGAAAAAAAAAGATGGCAAAAATTATGAAGTGGTGTTTAAAATCACTGTATGAACATTCTGTGGTTTAGCTTTGTTTGTCTCCAACCACCCATGGTTGGGTTACACGTTTGTATGCAAATCTTTCCCATGGAAGCTCTGTCCAGAAACAAAAGGAGTGGTTTTTAAAAACCTGTTGTTAGCGTCTCTTCCATATTCTGTTCTCTCTCTTTCTTGCTGTATTTCCAGCTTGCTTTTTCTTCTTGTTCCAGGGTAAGCCCACACTTCCTTACACCTCCTTGCCCTGATAGGCACATCTAAGTACTCTTGACTGCACACCCATTTCCCAGTTTTTATCCTTTCCTCCAATACTTTGTCCCTGCAAGCTTGTATTCCCTATTCACTCCCTTGAGTTTCTGCCTTTTTTTTTTTTTTTTTGGGGGGGGGGGGGGGGAGGAAGTGGGACAAAAAAATAAAATACAACAAAAAACAAATCCTCCTCTGACTCTTTACCTATCTGCTTTTAGCTAGGCAGATGTTTTTTCATATTTGGAAAGCTGAGGGAGATACCTATAGACATTTCAGTAGTGTATAAGAGTCCAACATGGTCAGATATGGAAAAATGATGATAAAAAGTAAGTATTAACTGTAGAAAGCCAGAAAAGGGGAAAGTAATATGGAACAAAGTTTTGTAAACCTTTTACTAGGCCTAAGCATGCCTTATTAATTGTATATTAAATGAAATAAGGCTTTTAGCATAAGTAGGCCAGAGAGATCTCAAAGAAAAAGGTTATACTAAAAATGCAAAATAAAATAACAGCAATGCACTCTTTACTTTTCATAATCGAACTCACTGCTGTGCAGCAAAGTTGGACTATGGGTGGTGAAAATGAATTGAACCTTTCTCCTGGCAGAGTGAATATATTTTCATCACTGCATATCCACGTTAAGGATGAGGCGCTCCAAGGCCATTTCGCACCAGCAGGGATCCCCACTTTGCATTTCATTTCCCAGATGCAAAGAAGTTGCAGCGTTTTGCGATTTAGTATCTAAAGATGGATTATTTTCGCCAAAAGGGGAGGCCACGGCCCTTGGCGCGTTCCGGGGGTCCCGGGTGACCCTCCTGCGCTGGGCTCCGCGGGTAGCAGTGGCGGGGGCCTCCCCTCCAGAGGGAGCAGGTACGGCTCACTTTTGGGGCTGGAAGAGATAAACAGGAGATGGGCTTAAAGCGTTACAATTCTAAAAACCGGTCAAGTCCGCAAAAGTGGAAAAAAACAAGCCCAGGAGAGGCAGGGCAGTGCACACCTGCCCGCGCCCTCGCCTGAGGCCCGGGAGGGCGCTCAGGGGTTAAGGCCCGCGGGGGCGGGGGCAGCCCGGCCGGGCCCCGCCGCCGCGGCTCCTCTCAATGGGACAGGGAGGGGGCTGGGGCCGGCGCTGGCGCTGAGCTCGTCCGTGTGCGGGGATGTCGCAGGCTCCGCCGGGCGCGGAGCTCCTCAATGACCTGCCCGACCACTCTCCGCGGGTGCGCGGCGCCGTGTCCGAGCTGCGGCGGCGGGCGGAGGCAGAGCCCGGCCAGCGCTGGCCGCAGCCCCTCTCCGATGCCTTCCTGGTGCGCTTCCTGCGCGCCCGAGACTTCCACCTGGAGCTGGCCTGGAGGGTGAGGAGCGGCGGCGGCAGGTCTCGGTGCTCGGGGAGCGCAGCCGGGCTCGGGCTGCGGCTGCGGGACGGGCTGTGGGGTGGGTCCGTGCCCTGCGCTGCCCGGGTCGGGCGAGGCCGAGCGGGGTTTCGGGGTGTGGGTGTTTGCCCGTCATGCGTGTCTTCGGCGCGGCACCGCAGCAGTGCGCGGCGTGGCGGCTGGCTCGGCGCGGTGTCCGTGGGGTAACACCAAGGTGTGGTAAGCGCCGTACAGTCACTCGCCCGTACAGTAAGCGCGGTAAGGTCACAGCTCCGATTGGGAAACAGTATCCTTCAAAGGACACCCCTGTCATGATTATCAGGCTCAGGTTACTAGCAGGCGTACTAGTTTCACTACAGACTTATAATTACTCTAAAACCATGAGTAAACCCTTCTTTTTACTTGGAGTTTAGTCTTTTACAGCACTCCTTGCAGGCGCTGGTACTTTTCCAGCTCTTTGTATGCCTTTTTGCCACAGAGCACACATATTTTCAATATCCAAAGGCATAGATTGTTATCAGTTTGTTATTTTTTTAAATGAAAGATTGACAGTCATTAAACCTTTGGAACAGAAAGTATTTCCAAATCCTCCCAGGGCAAAAGCATTGATTCACATGTGCCAACTGAAAGCTGTGTTTCCATGGAATTTTGTGTTGTTTACACTGCATTGCCCAACAGACTTCACCTATTAGTTTCTTCACCTATTAGTTTCTGACTTCTCTGGACTGTAGATTTTCCAAGTTTACTCACCATAAGAGATCATTGTTTGTATATGGATGTACTGCAGGGTCAAGGCAGCTAAAAAAGGAAATTGAGAAATTGAATTAAGCCCTTAATCATAAGTAGCTTTAAAATTTATATTTTTGTTCTTTTCATTTGACTCATGACATTTGCATCATGGCTTTAAACCTTTCCTCCTTAACAGAAGAACCAACGAGACAAGTCAGATTCCTTTGGGTTTTATGTATCCTACTTGAAGTTCATGAGATTGTTTATATCAAAGCTGTACACTAAACATTGTAGGACCATGCCTTTTTTTTTCTTTTCAAACAAAAGCCATTTTATTTTCCTGCATTTCTTGGTTCCAAAATGCTTAAAGGGCTTAATGAGGACATAGGGATTCCTGAATATTCACTCCTAATTGAATTGTAATTGGTTGTTACTGGTAATCCTACAGACAGGATGGTGGCTCCTCTGAATTTGGCCTGTATGTTTTTGCACTTTAATGGGATGTGAGTGTGTTAGGTAGGTAGGACTAATCTTTGGGAGTGTGGAATCTAGACTAGGTTTAGAGATGGGAGTCTATGAAGTAGCAAATTTCCTATGCTTCTCTTGAGAATCAGCCATCAACACTGGGGACCTCCTTTGAAAAAGTTGTCTTTTTAAAACCTCTTTAGATTTTCTGGGTCTCCACAGGCTGCTAAGTTTCTGAATTTCAAACCTGCCTTTAAATTAAGAAATTCTAATGTTCAAAGTCAACCTGTGTTTAATGTTTCTGTTTAGAATTTCAGTTCTTCAAGTGCTGTAGCCACTTGCACTTAATCTTCTACCTACCAGCTGACACCATTTTCTAGAATACTTCTCTTACAGTAATGGAAGAATAACAGAAGCACTTGCCCCCCACCACAGGAATGTGTTTATTGCAATTGGTATATTAAGGCCAAAGAGAATTATTGGGCAAAAATCTCTCATGGTCCTAAGTTGTACATTCGTCTAACCCAAGTGTGACTACACACAGAAGTTATGTCAGTACTTCATCCTAGACAGAGCCCTCCTGCCATCAGTCCAGAGAGTGGCTCTTCCCTCTTGTCCTGATTTGATGTTGCCTCTCTTGAGTTCAGGCCCACTGGGCTTCCATGTACTACTGCATAGTATTTGTAGAGCAGCTAAGGGACAATCAAAGTTAATGGCCCTGTCAGTGCATATAAGCAACTGTTGTCCAGCGTCTTAGTATGGGCTTATATTCATAGCCTTAACTATGAATCAAGAGTCTGGCACCTGATCAGACCATTTTATTGATGCATTTCTGGTTAATAATTGACACACATTTATCTGATGTCAGTTACCAACATTTGGAAATGCTTCAGAAAAGAATGATCAGGTAGATTGTGTCAAGACATTCAATTTCTAAATCCTTTATGGTGACTCATAACAGCAATTTTTTCCGGTTTTCCAGTGGCAATTCCAGACTTGCTTTTAATGATATATTGATATCTCTCATGCTAGAAGAAAATCCAGCACTGAAACAGGTATCTGGAATTGAAGGACTTGAAGAAGAGATAAAACTGCCTTAATTTCTTGAAGAGTGATCATTCAGTTAAGCTCAGTAACAGACTATTCTCACAGAATCACAGAATACATTGAGTTGGAAGGTACCCACAGGAATCATTCAAGTTCAGGTCTGGGCCCTGCACAGGCACCCTGTCAGAGAGTCACACTGTGTGCCTGAGAGCATTGTCCAGATGCCTCTTGAACTCTGTCAGGCTTGGTGCTGTGTCCACTTCCCTGGGGAGCCTGTTCCAGTGCCCAGCCACCCTTTAGGTGAAGAACTTTGTTCTAATACCCAACCTAAACTCCCCCTGACACAACTTCAGGCCATTTCCTCATGTTTTGTCACTGGTCACCACAGAGATCAGTGTCTGCCCCTTTTTGAGTGTACCAGCTATGTGTGTATGTTTGACTTCGCTGTTATCACTGAAAACACTGCCACTTGGATTCACTAGTGATATGTGAAATCTGGACAACTAGCATCTCCTTTTGGACATGAATGTTTCTTCCTGTTTTATTATGCATCACATCCTATAACTCTTGTATAGGACTGAGACTCAGTGACTTTGGAATGCTGTCTTTTTGTACCTGAAATAGATAATATTCTGGGGAACAGAAGAAAAATGTTTGGCATTGAAACTCTATGCAAAGGGTTTTCATAACATAAATATATAAGCATCACTTTGTGGCACTGAAAACTCTCTAAATATCTAGGACCCTTTGAGGAGTTCTGGTTGATACCAAGGTATATAGCCAGACTTTTGTTTTTCATTCGACTTACAGAGGAATGAGGATTTCCTAGTGTGTTCTGCTGCAAGGAAGTCACCTAGGATGACTGTGCTGTACAAGCAGTGTTGTTTTCTGTAGTGTCAAACACACTGCTGAGTCTCAGACATTATCTCTGAGGATCTTCACATCATTCAAACATAAATGCTAAGTTAGAATCAGTCACTTGGCGGCTTTTCTTCCATCAATACCGAGGAATTCCTTGAAAAGGATGGAAGAGCCCTAATTAGCTCTCTGAGCTGACTCTTGAGGAAACAAATCAGTCAGCCAGGCTTCTCTTTGTGCTAAGCCAGAACGTGCCAGTCTTTTTTTTCCAGTGACAAGGAAGTAATGCATGAAGAATTAGGAAAGTTCTGTGTCTCTATAAAATATTTTAAATTCTTTGTCTGAGTAGTATAAATTTAAACATACAGTTGTATGTTTAAATTCTGGGTGTATTTGTACACGCATATATAAGAAGAAGTATAAAATGCATATGCGCACAAAGGTTTATATTCTGAAATTTGAGCTGTGGTTTCTCCTGCAAAGAATGCCAGTAGAAAACATTTTTTTCCCAAGCATTGTGTACACTGGTATGACTTCTGACACAACAGAGGCCTAATTCTGCCTATCATCCACGTTAATATAACTAAATAGTTGTTAATCAAGAAAAATATATTAATTTATATATACATATGCATTAGTTTCTCTAACAAGCACAATGTTTTCTAGTTCTTTTGCTTCTAAGTAAAGTACTAAGTTCACTTTGGTTTGTAGGACCTGAATCTTGGTTTAATTGGTAACTTTGTAATCTCTAATGTTCAGAAATCTGGAACTATCCCCAACAGACATCAGGGAAAAAAACCTCTTAATTAATGCTGAACTACAGACACTGGAGTTTGATAAACAGCTTTCCCCCTGTTTATCAAGTTATCTTGCATCTATTTTCAGATGCTGAGCAGATGCTAAGTAGGTTATTCCATTTGTAAACACAGATAATTATACACTGAGATGTTTTTCTTGTCTCGTTAAGTGTGTGAGCCATTTTTTATACTGGGTAATGAATGTGTCTGTTTTTCCTGAGATTAGGTTGTTTCGTCTATATCCAAACTGATTGTTATATGCAACATTTATGTTTTACCCTGCTGAAAAAGAATCTTATTTGAAAAAAAATTTACATGAATTTCTGTGCTTAAACAGTTTTAAACTAGAAAACCTCTAAACCACTGCTAGTGTTTGAATTTCTTTCTGTGTTTAAGGATTACTCTTTTAAGTGGCCATGTGAGACTTGACTATGTCCAGCTGTAAGAAAGGGGTTGCTTACATAAATAAAAATTTACAGAATATCTGCCAAAACCAGCTGTAGATTCTGTGGAAGGTTCTGTAATGCTGACCTTTATTTCAGACCTAAATAATTTTAGGTAATTAGATTAGGTTTTTAAAATCTGAGAACTCTTCAGCACTTTGTGATTTTCTTGCCAAGGGAAGTATGTTTTAGGCTTAGCCAAGTTATGTGTCTGAAAGGTGCACCACTTACTTGTGTCATGGAAAGTGTCAGAAGTATTCCAACCATATATTTACTCCTTAATGGGTGTGCAGGTAGGTTAACTATGCCATCTGTAAGGATCTTGAGTGCATCTCAAGCTGAAAACACCACTCTCTTTATTCCAAAGTTCAAGAACTTAAATCCTTTTTTCCAACCTGGAAAATGCAAATATCATGAAAATGAGAAACCATCTGTATTGACTAGACAGGATTATTTAGAGTATTGAATTAATGTGTCATTTTTATTCTTATCCTAGTTTTGGCAGGGAGATCTTCAAAGAGGTGTTTAAAATATATATCTTCATGATGTCGTGGTACCACAGATTTTAGAAGAAAAGTGACAAATTACAAAGCGACAAATGTTTGCATAGTTTTTTTCAGGGTGGTTTTGTATTTTGCTGCTATTTCAGAGTCTGTTTTGGAAAGACCAAGGAAAAAACATGTTGACATTGCTGTCTGGCACAAAGCACTTGGGATTGCTCAAACAGTGCCCTTTGTTAGACAGTCAAGTACTGACAGAGTGAGATAATCAGAGTACCTCAACAGACCTATTTTCGCAATTGTAGTGGACTTCTGTTCCACAAATTAACTTACTTTCCCTTCTTTCTCCCTCTTTCCTTCACCAGGTTTGTTTGTTAGTTTTAAAACTAACCTAGGCTAAATCTGATTGAATGCAGTCAAGAGACTTCTAATAAAATTCTCCTAATGGTGAAATGTTTCTTTCTATGGTGATGGTTTAGGATGAGGCTTTTATCTGTTGGTTTTTTTTTTTTCCGCTGCCAAATCAAGTGGGATTCTAGCATGGTATATAATTTTTTTTTTTTTTTGGATCTATATATGTATTTATAGGCTCTATTTCCATAAAAAATATAGCTAATTTCTAATCAGTGTACCATGTATTTTTATGCAAATTTTGATGATAAACAATAATGTTTTATAAATAGTTTCCTCATGGCAATTCCTTTGAGAGACCTCCAAAATCATTCAACCTTAATCTGAGCAGAAAAACATTAAGCTGAAGAAAAGGTATGTTTTATGTAAAATGATACAAGAAGCTTAAAAGTAGAGGGAAAAGTAGGAGATACGACTAATTATCTGACATGAACATGCTGTGAGCTACAGGATGCTGAGTTCCAGGTCTCCCTCTAAGAGTCTGTAGGGATGAATTCAATTTTACTGAAGTTCCTTCTGATCATTCTTCCAATAAAAATACTGAAGAAAATGATACTTACATAGACACAAAAAATTTAATTTTTTTTACAGTTATGTTCTATTAGTTGGACCTGACAGCTCTTTTAACTTTAGTACTTCTGTTACAAAATATAGAGTAATTGATAAAGGAAAAAAATAATTTCTGTTAATACAAATTAAAGGAAATAAAACACTTTTGGTTGATGCTTTCAGTGCAGTGAACAAATTTAATTTGTGAAACTGTGCTAAGGATCAGCCTGGGTTTTCCTGTTTGATGAAATATAGAAATAATATAAGCCTAGCTTTCAAAAGCTAGGCTGTGCATGCCACCTTTAAGATTTAAAGCTACATTTTGGTTTGCTGTGAAACAAGATACTGAAAAGTCTGGTTCTCTTAGCTACTTTGAAGGTCTTGGATTAGACCTCTAAGTCATAGCCATTGAGGAAATTAAAACAAAATATTAATTACTTGTAATAGCTATCTCTCTACTTTCCAAACTTAGTGATAACCTTAGCAGAGGTGATACAGCAGAGGCAAATTTTAGTTGATGAGCAGAGAGGAAGCATTTTAGTAGACAGTCTTGCATAGCTTCCTACTTATGCACAATATCTTAAATAAATTTTAATTTCAGGGCATAGTTCATTTTCACCACAACCACTTAATATTAAAGGAGACACAGTAATTAGACTTGGGAGTTAGAACTACTACATCACCAACTTAATTTTTCACAATCTGTCTCTAAGATGACCTTTCACAGTGCTGCCTGTAATTCCTCAACACAGATGTTACCTCACAAAGGAACACCTTTAATTGCCTCTTCCTTAGCATTAGTCCATGGCCTTTCAACACACAGCTCCTCCTGTGCCTTAGAAATGCTGGCTATGGTGCTGCCTCACAGCCTTTGGAATCAGGCTGACCAAGTCCCTGACAGCAGATGGGATCTCTGTTTTATTTAACCAGACAGGTTGTCATTATTTCCACTCTGTGGGAGGGAAATTGTCAAATGTGTAATGGACCCACTACTGTGTTGTATTTTCTCATTTCAGAGGGGTAAAAGAGACCTCAAAAATGTTTTTGGGTATGCTGATGAGCATACCTGTTTCAAATAGTAAATTGGAATTATTGATGACTGTGTAAAAAATAGGGAGGAAGGGAGAGAGTGAGTGAGTGAAGGAGAATGTTCCTCCATAAAATTTTGCACGTATAAATTAAAAAAAATTCCTGAAAGAGTCTGATGAAGTAGCAAAATGACAATCCTAAAGGTAACCTGAGCAGAAAAAAATGGGGTTTAGATGCTTTTTATGTAGAAACAACAGGCTTATTGTATATTCAGTTTTATTTCTGATACAAAATGATAACTGTGATCCATTAATGATTTGACTGGTTATAAATTCATCATGGCAATTTACTCATTTACTTGATCCAGTATAGCAACCTTCTGTTTCTAAGGGGTGATTTGATTAAAATATACAATTCAATTATAGCTAATTTAATGAATTAAACCTGACTGTGACCACATTTGGGAAACATATTTTTAACTGTGCTCTTCCTATAATAGCTGATGCTTACCTGACATCCACATTATTTTCTTTTTCCAGTTATTGAAGAATTATCAGAAGTGGAGAATCGAATGCCCAGAAATAAGTGCAGATTTACAACCATCTTCTGTTCTTGGTCTTTTGCAAGCTGGCTATCACGGAGTCCTAAGGTCAAGAGACCCACATGGAAGCAAAGTTCTAATATACAGAATTGGTGAGTGACAAAATTGCTTGGAACGGTTTTACACCTGATTCTGACACTGAAGTTTTTAGGGGTTTTTTGTTTGCTTTGTTTTTTGCTTTTGTTTGTTTGTTTGGTTTGGTTTGGTTTTTTATTGTGGTTTGTTTATTATTTTAATTGTCACCATTTCAGGTGCAAACCAAAAATATTTTATGGGTACAACTGCAGGGGTTGATAAAATTAGATCATATCAGAACATCTTAACTAGAAATTTAATATATTTATGTTCCTTGCTAGAAATGCATTTACATTAATATAAAGGTGAACTTACTGAGCTATAAGAGTTAAATAATTTTACTTATATATTGGCATAGATAGAGCTGTACAATCCCTTAAGAATAACCTAATTTTCTTTTTAGTGAAATTCTTATTGCATCAAAAGAATATTGAAGGTTAAAACTTGTAAGATTATGTAGGGTTTTTTTGGCTCTGAGTATCCCAAAAATCATTTGACTTTATGTAAATTGTCAAAGTCATGGGCTAAGACTGTGGTACTGATGCAGATGCAGCACAGAGTAGGGAGAACACAAACAAAGGTGTACACCTTGTCATATATCAACATTCAGTTTAGGCTTGGATGAGCAGTTCACCAGGCTTTCATTGTTTACTTGTAGCCAAAGAGTCCTAGCAAACAACACTTAGAAAATGCTTGATGCATCTCCCAAAAATATTTTCAAAAAGTACATAGTTAAATCTCTTCATGCTTGTTTTCTGTTATATCTCTTTATGCTTGTTTTGGACTGAAGCTTTATTTTTGCCAACTTTCAAAGAACTGTATTATTATAATCTGTAGGTCTAGTAGGCAGTTGTGTCCTTTAAAGCTTTCATCTAGGGTTAAGGCTCATCCCATGCAATTTTTTTTCTCAGGCCTCAGAAAAAAAATAAGTGAGATTCACTGAGTTGTGCCAGAAAATTATGGTGCTGAAAAGCAATTATATTAATTGATTGGACTGATGATCTGCAGCTTCTGCTAGCATGAGTGTTACTGAATTGTACCTTGTACTGGGTCTGTGGCCATAGTTACAACGTGCTACATTACATGGTACTATCTACTAAAAGAGCATCAAAGATGAACGAGAGAGCAGGCACAAAAATTAACCTATGCACTGGCAAAACAGTTTATTTCAGGAACTTTGTTCTTGCTGATTAATTCTTCTTCCTGAGAAGCACATTAGAAGCCATAGGAATAAAAAGTGCAGGTGTGTGGGGTTTTCTCATGGTAATGCAGAGTAATCTATCTTCCCTTCAGGACAATGGGATCCCAGTTTATTTACAGCATATGATGTGTTCCGTGTAAGTCTCATCACATCTGAACTCATTGTAAAGGAGATCGAGACTCAGCGAAATGGAGTCAAGGCCATCTTTGACCTTCAAGGGTGGAGATTTGCTCATGCTTTTCAAATCAGTCCAGCAGTGGCCAAGAAAATTGCTGCTGTTCTCACAGTAAGTATGACATAATGCTTTATGCAGCTTCATTGCTATGACTTCAAATTTTTCATCTCTTCCAAGCTATAGTAAATTTTTCTTCTGTAGGCATTCTCAGACTATGCAACTTAGAAGAACAAAATCCTAAATCAATAACAAGTTGTGCTTGATTTTACCCAAATTTTATTCTTCTACACCAGTAAATGCCCTCTAGCTTCTGCTATTTTATAAAAACTCCACCAACCTGTTACAACACAAGTATTTCATGACTGGAGGAGCAGATGAAACCCAGTTTTCAAAGGATCTCTGTTTTTTATCCTGTTTCATCTCTTCTCTTCCATTCTTTTGTGTAGTATCTCATATTTAAAGCATTTATTCCTGTCTCAGAGAATATTAAAAATAGTATGCACTGTAAGCAATTAAGAGCAAGACACTCTTAACTTGTTACCAGTATGGATGATGTTTATGTGATCTTCCATCTGCTAACAACAGAATGTATAACGTTTATGTTCTGCTTGCTTTCTTCCCCACAACATGAGCATTGTTTGGTGCAAATCATTGTTACCTCACCTCCTGTTTTTCATAAAATCTCAGGACTTTACTGTCTTTAAGTCTTATTCATTTCTGCCAAATTCAGTTTAACTTTGCCACTGGATTTGAGAGAAAAAAAAAATAAAGAAAAAAGGGAACAGAGAATTGACAGCCAAGCTACAGTGTAGCCCTATAATCTTATTTTCCTTCAGAAGTTATGTTGAAAGTCAGTAATAATAAAACTGTTAGCCTGTGATGTGGAAATGAGCCAGGGAGATAATCTCTTGCTCTGATTTGCTAAGGTTCATATCTGAGATTCAATCAAAGCTTAGTCATTGAATTAATATCATCAGAACTTCAGATGTCCTTCCTTTCTGATATCTTCTATAAAACTTTATTGAAACCATTAGGTATTCCCAACTTTGTACATCTAGAATAAGAACTCCTGGTGTTATGCAGTCTTGGGTCAGATCTCATGGAAACAGGACTAGTGAGAGTGTTTCAGTTGATTTCTGAGGTAGTAGACATATTGCTGGTAATTTTTTTAACCTTGAAATAGAGCAGAAAGGAGGCAGAATAAGATTTGCAAGAACATCTAAAGGTTTCAATCCATTATCTCAAAGCAGGAAATTCTTTGACTTTGTTTCCATCTTGACCTATTTCTGATTTTTTCAAACTTCTAAATGCTTATTCTAGCTATGGAAAAGCAAAATTAAAAATTGTGTGTTTCCAGTGTTCTTTTATAAGAAGAAAAATAATTTTAATATTTTTTTTGTCCCCTGATTCCTTTCCTCACTTTTAACTGGGTTTGTAAATTTTATCCAAAGATTATATTAGTGTTGTTCAATATTATATAATCATAGAATATATTAAGTTGGAAGGGACTCATCAGAATCATCAAGATCAACTCCTCACCCTATGCAGGACACCCCAAGAGATACACCATGTGGCTGAGAGCATTGTCCAGACACTTCTTGAACTCTTGTCAGGCTTGGAGCTGTGACCTGGGGAGCCTGTTCCAGTGCTCAACCACTCTCTGGGTTAAGAACTTTTTCCTCATATCCCATATAAGCCTCCTCTGACACAACTTCAAGCCATTCCCTTAGGTCCTGTCTCTGGTCAGGAGAGTGAAGAAATCTTCCCTTCCTCTTCCCCTCACAAGGAAATTGCAGACTGTGATGAAGTTTCTCCTCAGGCCCCTCTTCTCCAGGCTGAACAGACCAAGTGGCCTCAGCCACTCCTCACACAACTTCCCCTCCAGGCTCTTCACCATCCTCCTGACCCTCATTTGAAGCTCTCTAATAGCTTAATGTCTTTTATATTTTGGTGCCCAAAACTGCACACAGTGTTCAAGGTGAGACTGCCCCAGTGGAAAGGAGAACAGGACAATGGCCTCCTTTGCCCAGCTGGAGATGCTGTGCCTGATGCACCCCAGGACATGCTTAATGCACTCCAGAATATGCTTATAAGTAAAACCTTACTTTTAACCCTGTACTTAACTCAGGAAATGTGTCTTGCAAATTACTATCCTGTATCAAGAAACAGAAGTTAATAGAAAGGAAATATGTACTAAGGAATGGAAAGCATAGTATGGATAATAAGTGACATTATCTTGAAAAGTCCGTTATCCCAGGCAGAAAATTGTTTTGTGAAAATGATAGTAGACTTTAAGTATATGATAACCCATAATAACATCAAGTGAACATAAAAGCTGATAATTTTAGGGTCTTTACCATACATGAAAATCCAGGCGTGGCACTAAAGAAATGTTTTAGCTTTGGGTTTTTTCTTCCTTAGAACTACTGAACTAGTGAGGAGATATGTTTGTGAGAACCGCCATTTTTATAAGCAGGAAACCTCTCAGATATCCCCATTGCACAAAGCTTGTTTTGAGCACTGCCATATTTTCTTTTAAATTTCAAAGATCTGGAACTTTTAAATGAATGCAAGTAAAATCCAAGCTGTTTTATATTATAAAGGCTGTATAGCAGATATTTTAAAATTTTCATTAAAACAGTAGTCTTGTAAAGCTGAACTTCTGTCTTGGCCAAATTCCTAGTAATTTCAAGGCTTACCACTAAATTCTAAATAAAACTTACTTAACTTAAAGTTAGTATTTTCAATAGTTTATGTATATTTATGGCTGTAAATTGCCAATAAAAGCACATATTTAGATAGCATTTTGTAAATTAGTAGTAGAATCTTGTGAAAAATTGCACATTAGAAGAAAGGCTGAGCACAAAGTTTGTGTACAATTTTTATGTGCAATTTGGTGATAGTTTTCTTTTTCGTTTTTCTGTTTTTAATATTCAATCTCACTTCCTACTGAGGTGAAAATATTATTAGACCTTTTCCCTCTAATGAGAGGAACAAGATATGATTTTTCTAAATGTTGTTCTTAATTTACACTGCTAGAAAATGCAGGAATTGGCAAGGTCAGAAGAAATACTTTAACCTACGGACTAGACAGTTTTTACAGGCCTGTGCTTAATTATAGAGGTGTTTCAATAATGTTTTCTTTTTCTTCTGTTTTCCATGTATGCTGACAGGATTCCTTTCCACTGAAAGTTCGAGGTATCCACTTGATTAATGAGCCTTTATTCTTCCACCCAGTCTTCGCTCTAATTAAGCCTTTTCTCACTGAAAAAATAAAGCAACGGGTGAGTGCACACAAATATTTCTTTCTGCCACAAAACCCTTGTATGACAATCTGCAGCACTTTCCTTAGGCTCTGTTCCTCCCGAGTACTGAAAAGCATAAATCATTTTTGTTGGTTAGTGCCATACAGACCTCCAGAATCTAACAGTAAAGCATTTGCAGTTATTATTAACATGAGAGTAGCAAGTGGTGCTGTTATCACTCCTCTGAAGAGAAAAAACAGTAACACAAAGAGGTTAAATAATTTGCTTGAGGTCACATAACAATTCTTCTGCAGAATTAGAAAAAGGTCCTGCATTTCCCAGTGCTCTGCCTATAAATTATAGAGAAAAATAATCACTGAGCAGTGTTTTATAGTCCAAGCTGTGCAGCATTAGTAGAAGACAACTGTTTAGCTCTGACAGATCTCCAGAGGCATTTGTGCATCAAAAATTGATCAGACTTAATTTCTAAGTAGTTGCTTTAAATAGTTTTGCGGTTAGAGATCTGCAAATAGATTTGTATATGGATGCGAAAGCATGCCAAGGACTATGGTTTGTCGCAGCACAGGAAAAATATTGAAGTTTTCAGCTGGCACAAAAGTGAAGTGGTAACAGCAGGACTAAGGTACAAAATAAGCAGCCCTGTCTATTGTTATTCCAGTTCTGAAGCCTCCTTTTCTCAGCACATGGATCTTGGGCATTTGCAATAGCCACTGCCTGCCAGGACAGTCAATCCTAGAAAAGTATCAGACTGGAAGTAATGAACAAGGCTTCAAAATAGCTACAATAAAGCAAGAGGAGAAGAACCAAACCTACAGTATCCAAAGAGTTAAAGTGGAGAAGTAGTCCAGAATCCAATTTCAGTTGGAGCTGAAAGATAAGGACTGATGTATAGATTCTGTTGACTATCTTCCTTGACACCTGTCTGAACCTACAGATATACTACATAATCTTGTTTTTAAATACATGTGGCAGGACCAGATAGTAATGGCCACGAGTCAGACATGGCTCTTTTCTTGGAAATGACTGAAGGGCAACTACAAGATACCATGAAGAAACAAATCACCAGTATTCCCATGGTTTAGTTAAGTTTAGCATTTTCGATGTAATGTCTACTCTCACCAGCGTTGCTAAACCAGTCTGGAACAAGTGTATAGTTAGTTTTGGTCCTGTGCTCACAGCTACATAAAATGCAGTTCTCAGGTTGTAGTCCATCCTTCACCAGCCTTCAGATTCAGAGGAGGACAGAGTTTGAGTACCTAGGGTAAACTCACAAGGGTAGTTCCTCCATTTAAGGAATTAATTATGAACAAATACACTTATTTAGTTAAACCAAGCTGGTAGGTTCAGCTCTTGCACTGAGATGCTTTGCTGCCTGTTGTCACTCAATAGTCTAGCATTCATACCCGAGTAAATGCTTTTAATATTTTGGTTTAGGTGTACATGCATGGAAATAACTACTTGCAGAGTCTGACCGAACACTTCCCCATCAGCATTCTCCCACAGGAATATGGGGGGGAGGAAGTCTCCATTGAAGAGCTGGCCAAGGAATGGACTGACTTCATAATGGCATCATCAGATTATCTTCAGAGCATTTCTCTGGCCTAGGAATAACTTTAATACAGTATTTTATCAATTCTTGAACACTGGAATTGGAAATAAATTTAATAAGCAAATTTCCATTGTGAATGAAACCAGAATGTCTTTGCAGGGCACTCATTGAATGTTATGTTGGCTGCACTTTTATACTGACTGGAGGCTATCAGTTTGTATGTCTGAAGAGATTAATGAATTTTACATGTTTGTCTCACTGTTTGTTATTGAGTAACTTGTATGTCAGAAAGCTGAAGAGTGCATTGGAAATCAGATTGATACTGCTGTGTTAGGTCTTTGGAGACAACTCATCTGTAATAATGTAGTCCAGAACCTTACACTCAGCTCTTGTGTCTTGGCTTGTCAAGACAATACAAAACAAAGAATAGACTGTGAATAGGGTAGTTTGTTGCAGAAATAAGACTGCAGGGCTAATTTACAAGGAGTGAAGAGGCTGCTTTTTGGATTGATTCTCAGGGAAAAAATGCTGTTTTGTTAGTTTGTATCAAATTGGAAATTAGTCAGCAATAGTGAGACATTTGTGTTAGTCTTTGTGCTGCTTGTGAAGCTTCCCTTTTTGTCCTAATTAACAGAGTAATCTTCCAAGTTTTATAGAAAAACACCAGGTACCTATTCAAAGAACAGTGTGAATCAGGGAGGAACTGGTAAAGGAGTCATAACAACCTTGAAAATTCTTATTTTCTTACTTAAAATTGATACTGTCTATGGACAACTATAAACAACTCAGATTATTATCCTTTAATCCCTAGTGTAGAGGACAACAGAGGTCAAAAGTTTTCAGCTGTTTGCATTATCTGTTTGTTTCAGAGGGTAAAGTAGGTTATCCTTTGTGGATCTGAACTTTAGAAATATCTGTTGTATGTTTTAAGGGTGTTGTGATGTCACTTTGGACCTCAGCATAGGAGATGCTTGGTATCGCCATTTTATTTTCAGTACAGTAACTGTTCTTAACTCTGTTTTGTTTTTGCATAAGCACTATATGTTTAAGCATTCCCTATAAATTTTCCTATTAATAAATCCATAAAAAATCCTTTTATCTCAGGTAGCTAGAAATTATAACTTCTCTTATTTAGTACTCTTTAGGATATTGGAATAGTATCTAGACATAGGGAACGGAAATTAAACCATCCTATTATATTAGAAATGCTTTACTTTAGATTATGATTAGTAAGGCATTATTGCAAGAGTCATTGGAAACGATTCTTTATTAGCAAGAGAAACCTCTATGAAAGACCCCTTAGAGTACTTGTTGATTGTATTTTCTTCTGCTCTGGTAAGATCAATACCTGAAATTCTTTCAAAACTGACAGCAACCTCTTTTTTTTTTTTCCCAATTTCTGAATTTCCTGAAGTGGCTTTTTAATTTTTCTCTTTCAAAATATTTTTGATATGGGGCTTAAATGTAAAGAAACCTTATTCGGATATATGATTATATGAAAATGTATTTCATATATATTTTTTTCTCAGATTTTGTGATACACTGTTTTGTGATACAAAAGATCCTTAAACAGACGAGTTCGATGAACTGCAAATTCTTCTTTATAAGAAAAATAGATTAAGTAGTCAGGTATCTGGCAATTGTTCAACTGTGTAACTCAAGTTCCAGGTAATTTACCAGCTGGAGACCCAAAGCTATTGTCTTAATATTACAGTCCTTCAATTTTAATCTGTGAATGTAAACTGCACTAAGAAATGAACCATGTTTCAGTGAACAAGAAAATTTAAACTTTTCCTATGAAACCAATCTCTGATTGCTACTGGTTTATGTAGTAGAAACCTCATTTGATTGCACATATATATGCATATTTAGCTGTGGCTTTTTAATCTTTATTTGGACTTCATCAGCTCTATGAATATAAAGTCCTAAATGTCTTCAAAAATACCCTGATCCTGTTATTAAGTGGTAGTGTGTTTGCATAACTCAGCAGTTAGAGCACTGAGCACAGTTTTTTTTTTCCTGAACTGTTAATTATTTTGTAATGTTTACATATTATATAGGAGGTGGGAACTCTTAATTGCCATTGCTGTTAATAATAAGGACACAATATAATTTGAACATTTACATAATGAATAGTGAAGATATTGGTATGATGTGCGGTGGTGTCGCAGCTTTGAGCAGCAGCCAACAAAACAAAAATCCTTAAGTGCTTTATTCTTTGTAAACATCAGCAGTGCCTCTAAAAAAAATAAAGTTCCTGTTAAACGGTACAAATTTACTACTGACTGTCAGCACGATGTAATGCACAATTTTAATTTTTTTTCCTCTTTTTAAATGTATTAACATATATTTTAATTAATAAACCCTTTCTGGTTGAACCAGCCTCGTCTGTCACGGGCTCGAGCGCGAAGAGAAGGAAGCGGCCGCGGGGGCTGCCGGCAGCGGGCCGGGACTGCATTTCCCAGCGAGCCGCGCTGCGGGCGGGCCGGCAGCTGCGTGCCGCAGGGCGGGCGCCCAGCCCAGCCCGGCCCGGCCGGCAGCCGTGCCCGGAGGCGAGGCGAGCCGAGCCGAGCCGAGCCGTGCCGGGAGCCGTGCCCGCAGCCGTTGGTCGTTCCCGGCGGTGCCATGGGGCGCCTGGCCGGGCTCGGTGGCGTGGCGGCCGCCGCGCTGCTCCTGGCGCTGCTGCGCGGCGGCTCCGCCGCCTCCCTGGCGCGGCGCGGCCGGCCGGCGGGCAGCAATGACAGACCCATCATCGGTAAGGGCCGAGGGGCCGTAAGGAAAGCGTCTCCCGGAGCCGGGGTTTGGCTAGAGCTGGTGTCTGCAGCGTAACGCTGTACGGGCTTTCTCTGCAAGTCGGGCTTGCTTGAGAGAAGTTACAGTGCTGGGCAGTCATGGCAGGGAAGCCGAGTCTTAGTCAGGTAATGTGTGTTTGTCTGGTACCTTGTGACCGGGCGCCGGAATTGATGCCCCGTTGGTTGTCTCGGTGCCTGCAGTTCCTGTGGGCAGTAAATGTATTTCTGCTAGCTGGCATATAGGAGATGGGAGCTTAATTAATAGGAGCAATTAATTATTAATTAATTAATAGGGTCTTGGGAGGAGCGGCTGAGGAACCTGGGGAGCTTTGAGCCGGAGAAGACCAGGCTCCGGTGTGACCTTATCGGTCTTTACCATTGCCTCGGAGGAGGCTGGAGCCAGGCGGGGGTCGGGCTCTTCTCGGTTACTAGCAATAGGACAAGAGGACAGTTCTGAGCTACCTAGGGGAGGCTTAGGTTAGACATTAGGAAGAATTTCCTCGCAGAAGGGTGAATAGATACTGTAATGGACTGTCCTGGGAGGTGGTGGAATCACTGTCCTTGGAGGCTTTTAAGGAAAAACTGGACATGGCACTTGTTTCATGGTCTGGTTGACATGGCGGTGTTTATTTGTAGGTTGGATTTGATGATCTCAGAGGTCTTTTCCAAGCGAATTGATTCAGTGATTTTGTGACTTTTCTTTCAGTGTGTAGCATTTGCCATTTGTGTGGTGCTAATTTTCTTCCTTGGGGCCTTCAGGGATATTGTCACAGGAATGTCACTTTGATGCGTACGAGCGATTTGGAAGATCTTATATTGCAGCTTCATATGTGAAATTTGTGGAATCTGCTGGTGCTCGAGCTGTGCCTATAAGGTACGTTTTTTTATCCTTAGGAGTGGATAATAATTGCATTATGTAAGCTATGTATGATACCTTTTTAGAGGCACAGAAAGTAGTTCTGCTGTTTTTCTGAGTGTTTATTGCTCCTCAAAGACGATTTGAAGATGCCACAATTCTCAGAGTTCCAGAAATCGGAATAAAAGCAGAGTGGAACATATACTTTTTAATACTTCTACTAATGTTGCTAGTCTCTCTTTGAAAAGTTCTAATTTTTTTTTCTTTTACCAGTAAAATTGCCTTCTGTAGTTTGCATGCATGGTTTTTGAAGTTAGCTATATTCAGTGTATAGTGTAGTGCCCCACAAACACATAAATACCTTGATACGTAGATATCTTTTTTTTTTTTTTCACGTTTTGTTGCCCTGGTATTCAGGGAATCAAGGAAGGCTATCAGTACTCCTTTCAGAAAACAAAGTCGAGTTCTCTTCAAACTATGGGTCACTATCTTCTTGTATTTTGGTTGTTTTGTGAAAAGTACCAGAGTAAGTAACAGCTGACAGTACTTCATACCAACCCTGAGCTATAAAATATTAAATACACTGAAACCAGATGGTGAAATTATAAATTTCTGTACTTAAAAGCAATACTAATACAGCTGCAGAAAAACAAAATCGCATGTATCTACACAGTCCAATGAGAGCACCACTTAAGTGCCTGAATTAGAAGCCAGCATTCCTCATGTAGCTGCTGGAGCTTTCAGAATCATTGCTGACCAGAAGCTTCACCAATGAATGGCTGCTTCTAATTCTGGCAATTAAGTTACTTGTATAAAAGCTGAACACTTTCACTTACACCCAGCTTATCGCACCTCTGCAGAAGTGTGGCCATCTGTGCTGGTTTTGGCTGGGGTAGAGTTAATTTTCTTCACAGTAGCTGGTGTGGGGGTGTGTTTTGGATTTGTGCTGAACACAGGGTTGATAATATAGAGGTGTTTCTGTTATTGCTGAGCAGGGCTTACAACAGAGCCAAGGCCTTTTGTGCTTTTCGTGCTGCCATGCTGGCAAGGAGGCTGGGGGTGCATGGGTGTGACCCACTGTTTGCAGCTCTGCCCTTCTTGGGAATCAGCTGGAAACCGGAGTGGCCGGTCTGCAG